AGTAATTTGTAATGATTTGAAATCAAGTTAAGTGTGTGGAGGAAGGTGACGCGTGTTTAAAGAATGTGGCGGATTTTGTGGAATAAAATAGAACTTAAGAGAAAGATAATTGAAAGGTGAAAGATCATTCAAGCATATTCCGTATCAGTTTTTCAAGGGCCACACTCGTATAACGGTTAGTACAGCTCGTTGTGGCCGAGCAAATCCTGGTTCGATTCCAGGGTGTGGCACATCCTTTACTTTTTGTGCTATTCTCACCTTTTTTGGTAGTTGTTTCGTGTTATTTATAATGGTTCCTTACATCTTTTTGTCGTTTTCTATACCATTTTCATATTCTCTCGGATTTTATCTTCACGAAAATCGACGTTAGGATCACCCACGAAAGTACGAAAGGTTTGCAGTCCTCCAACCTCTTCAATGTCCCCGGCCCGCGCCTGTTTAGAGGAGCAGTTAGCATGATGGAACGCCTGGAAAACAGTACCTGTGATTGGGCAAAGTGTTTCCAGACAAGTTTATAAATTTCTAGAAATCGTCACCATCACCTAAGGTCGCCATCACATCCGCGAGAGGAGATAGCCAGTCATTTCGCGACGAAAGAGTTTATTGAGAGGCAACTTCAGCCCAACACACCCAAGTGCCAGTCCACCAATACGCCTGTGACAAAATGACTCCCACCTTGCAACAACTCCGCTACCACCTCCGCCCCATCATGCGCTTCGACTCCTTCTTTGGTGACCATGAAATGGCCCACTCAACATCCCAATACGATCGAGTCGCTCTCAATTCAAGAACACGGTACTTTGAAAATGTGAAAAACGCTGTTCGGCTACGCGGCACGATACTGCCCAAGATTGTTCCTCTGCTCTTTCTCATTGTGGCCGAAGCTACTGTGGTGTCGTTTTTGACTATTGTTATGGAGTTTCCGTTGCATATGGATGACAAGTACGTATATGCACGGCTCTGACTATTTTGCAGCTTTGAGATATCTAACATGTGCTTTGATTCGGCAAAGAATGATCACGATGATGGGCAGCGCGATTGCTATGTTGCTGGCTTTCAGGACAAACAGAAGTTTTGAGCGATACAATCTTGGGGCTCAGCTTTGGACGTCGTTAGCAGCTCAGGTAGGTGTAATCGAATGCTTAACATGGCAGAACAAATCTGTAAACATCGATGACGACATAGATTCGCCACTTGTCACGTATTATTTGGAACGGAGTTCACAACGCATCACCAGACGAAATGCATGAAAAACTTCAAGTAATGAAACTCTTGCTCGCGAGCGCCGTGGCAACCAAATATGCACTCCGCGGCCACGAGCCTCATCATTACTCAGAGCTTACACGTTTGTTGCCTTCAGGCTACCTTCAGAAATCCTACAGAGGCAGTCAGGTAGATTTGTACTGCACTGCCGAGGACGTCAGCAGCAAGCCGAGCAGTAGTGTGCCTTCTTACTTGACTCAAAGGAGCTCTCCGTATGTATATCCGCAATCTCAAAGAAACTCGATTTCAGGTAGGGGCGGTCAACAACAACAACAACAAAACTTTTCAGGTCTGCCATCTTTGCCGCCCAAGGCAAGATTCAACCCTCAGAATGTCATCAATGCACCGCTCGATATCATCCATAGAATAAGTCAGTACATTCGACGCCAGCGCCAGAGCGGGAATTTGGATGCGGAAGATAACGCGGCAGCGATGCGATCGATTTCGACAGCTATTGACTCTGTAACCCGTTTTGAGCAGGTATTCACAAACCACTCTCCAAAGTTGTTTCTTTTTTGAGGTTTCTAAACCGAATATCTAGCTCCTGTACATTGACGCTCGCAAAAGCTACGACGTTCACATCAAGCAGATCTTGCTCTTGTACTTTGTAGCTCTACCATTTCAGCTTGTGAAAAACCTGGGCTGGAACTCTATCTTTGTAGCATTGGTCACAGGAATAGCATTTTTCGGCGCGGATGCTATTGCGGGAGAAATATCAGAGCCTTTCGGGACGGATCAGGTATGATCCTGGTCATCGACTGTTATCGACTGCTCTAACAAGACATTTTCATTTTTGTATCATAGAATGACTTACCGATGGACTACTTCTGCAACAAGCTCAAGGAGGATATTGAGTACATAATGGAGCGACCTTTGGACATGATGGACAGAGATGTATCGGGATCAAAGGAAGATTTGAGCTCCTATTATGAGAGCGTTATGCGGGAACAGGAAGGAGGGAGAAGAAAAGCTGCTTGAGAGCTGTAGAAAGCGTGGAAACCAGCTTTTTCGGCCATGATACATATGTCGCTTTGAATACAATACAACGGACTTGATTGGTACTATATTTGATATTAGCAAACCTCCCCCAACCCGCCTTCCCTTCCGCAACAAGTCGTCCCACTGTCCTCATCATGATTATTGTCATGGTGAGGGGAGGGGGGGTTCAAAAAAGCGCAAAATCAAAGTCCCATCTCACCAGACACCACAGGATCAGGCAGAACCCGTTCTCCACCCTCCCCCGCGCACCTCACACCCGACAGCGACAGTCGCCTCATCCCAGATACCAATAAGCGACCTGCTGATACACTTACATCATGAGCTCTGGTGGTGAGTCTTACATAATACGCGAAGGATCTGTTGTTTTATCGTCAATGTGGGGAGAGTTTGGAGCTAAGACTTCCGAGCCCTGAGATGCTATGTGGGATTGAATGCCAACATACACAGCCATGTAAAACATGTGGATGATGATGACAGTATACGAGCGTCGATATGCTGAGCAACTAGAGATAACCTGAAGTATGGGCGTCAAGATACTCGGGTGGTGTGTAAGCCGCAGCATTGCATCTGTGGTTTCAGACAGTGCTATGTATACTGGATCAAAGTTGTCCTATCACACAGCGCATGGATACAATAGCATTCGACTGACGAAGGGAATACTGAGCATCAACTGCTTTACAATCGCACCATTTTATATCACTTGACTAAACCAACGATCAATCACTTCCATACAGATGAGTCAGAAACGCGTGTTGGTAGAGACAACGGCAATGATTCCGGAGAAGAGGAAGAGACGATAGTGAGACGGAGAAGAATAGCAGCTGACGATGATGATGTTGATGACGATGATGTCAACGGCAACGACGGCAATGAGGACAATGTGAGCGCTAACGAGGATGGTGAAGGTGCTGAAGATGTAAGCGACCACCTCGTTTCACAAGAACAGAAAAGATCTAACATTCTCGATAACATTGTGAAACAACCTCGTTACATTCTCCTATCATCATCAACACAACTATATACTACAGATCATATCCGCCATGCGCAAGAAGAACAAGTTGAAGAAGAAGAAGAGCAAGAAACATCGAGGATCGGATGGGGAGGGTGACGATCGGGAGCAGAGAAAGAAGAAGAAAAAGAAGAAGATTAGGGTGGATGAAGATGAGGATGAAGAAGGCGGGGATGGTGAAGAGCGCGAGAAGAAGAAGAAAAAGACAAAGGTGCTTTCATTCCCTTACACTTTTCTGAGACTATCGTACTTATCTTTCCTTGTGGAACAGTTATCTGATGAGGACGGCTCAGAAGGCGGAAGTCAAGGCAGCGACGACGATGAATCCGAAAGAGAAGTTGATTCTTCAGAGGACGACGAGTCCGACGAGGAGATGACAGAAGCCGACAAGCAGTTTATCGTCGACGACGAAGAAGTAGTTGACGATGACGGCGAAGGAGGCCCTCAAGCGCTCGAAGCGGAGAGAAGGCGCAAGAAGAAGAGGAGAAGAGAGAGAGAAGAGGAAGAAGATCTCGATGAGGATGACTTGGATCTTATTGATGAGAATTTGGGCAGAGCTCCTCGAAAAGATCGGTTGAAGCGGCTTCGGAAGATTGCGGACGACCGAGCGGAGGAAGAGGCCAGAAAGTCAAAGAAGGATCTGTCGGGTATCTTTGAGGAAGACGATGGTGTTTCTGAAGGTGAAATTGAAGAGAAAGACAGTGTTCGGAAACGGCTCGAAGACGATGAGAGGGAGCTGATGTCGAGTGAGGATGAGTTGGACAATTTTATTGAGGATGATGAAGAGGAAGGTCTGAATGAAGAGGAGTCGAAGCAGCGCCGGTTGGAGAAGAGGCGTGCACGGAAGGCGAATCTTGCGCAGAATTACGGCGTTTCCGATGAGTAAGTTTACCTTCGCTTTTTGGTCGCTACGAAAACTAATATTCAACCACGTAATTAGCGTATGGCATGATATCCAAGATCTTTTCGGCGACGGCAGCGACTACGCTTACGCAATGAAAACGGTATGCGCTTGTGATCTATGAACTAACAAGTGAATCCTACTAAATGAAATTTGTTGACCAGAACGATGAGGATGATGCCGCCGTCGTACCAATGGATGAGGATTATGAGGGTATACGTGACAGTCCAAAGAAGAAAGCCATCAAAATCACTGATGTAAGGAACTCTTTGTTGATGTGAGGCGCAACTATGACTGACGCTTCTTTCTTCACACCGACTGTAGATCTATGAGCCATCAGAGATTGCTGCACGTATGCTTACAGAAGAGGATGAAGCCATTAAAATTCGAGACGCACCCGAAAGAATCCAAATCCGTGGCGAGGTCCAACCTCTCTCTGACGAAGACCAACGGCGCGAAGTAGAATTCATCCTCCGTCGTCTCATGATCATTCACAAAGAGCAGCGTGGCATTCATATCACCGCTGACTACAGAGACGCGGTCTCTCGACGAATCTCTACCATCCTCGGCTTTTTCCACAACCACAACTTTGAAGTCCCCTTCATAATGGCCCACAGGAAAGATCACTTTGACGGTTTTCTGGACCGCACAGACCTCTGGAAGATCTACGACCTCGACGTCCTCTTCCGCACCCTCGACTCCAAAAAGCAAAACATTCGCGGTCTCGTAAATGAGTTGCGCAAACAGTCGGACGGCGCCGTTGTGAATCGTTATTTGGACGACTGTTTGGATAGGGCGAGGACTTTGGAGGATGTCGGAGATGTGATGGTTTACATGCAGCTTCATTACACGACGGAGCTTCAGAGGGCGGAGGAGGCGAGGAACAGGGCCTTGAAGCGGACTGTGAAGCGGACGGTGTATGAGGATGCTAGAAAGGCGGGGTTGGGCAATTACGTCAAGGTACACATTCTTTTTGATCATTCGTGTTGTGAGTGAGACGAGTGATGCTTACTGCCTTTGTGTAGCTGTTCAATATCGATGTGAAAGCTGTCACCGAA